TGCTAATAACTAATAATAAATATAATATAAAATACAATACTAAATATATAACAACTACTAATAATATAATATACTATACTATGCTAAAAATCTACTTTGTAACAAAGCCTGATTTGTATTATATAAGAAAAAAAAAAGTAGAATCAGTAAAGAATAGAATTACTTTTATAGAAAAAAAAAAAGCATAAAACTGATCTGATTTATGTAAAACAAAATCCTTTAGTAAAGCCTAGCTCAGAATATGCAAATATATAAAAAAAAAAGAATAAAACTACTAATATTGAAAATCATATTCGAAAAAGTTTGTGTTTAATAAAATTTTGCATAAATAATTTATTTTATTAACTAAAAGTATAGTTTTTTTTCAAATACAGATCACTTATTGTAGTAAACTCTCGATATAGCAAAGGCTAATTAAAATCCTGATATAGTAAAGTTTAGACTTACAATAGTGGCAGATACTAAATATGAAAATTTTTTAAAATTGATTAAAAAATATAAAAATTTATATATATATTCTTTAGAGTATTGCTAAACATCACTGCAGGTGACTATTACTGCAGATGATTATTACTACAGATATTATAATTAGAAAGTTCTTAAAATAGACCCAATATTTATATTATGAATTAATCTAAATACTAAAGTTAAGACCTGGGTCTGGGTTCCAACTATAAGATTCAGATCTTAATAATTAGATATGAGCTTACAGTGACATGGTTTCCAAATAATTAGTAATTTTTAAGATGAAGCCAAAAAGAATCAAAAACCAAGCAAAATTTTAAAGTATTTCAGAATATATGAAAACCTGTATTATTATTATTAGAAACCAGATCTTATAATTAGATCTGAATCTTATTATTAGGAATCAGATCTTGTGATTAGATCTGGATCTTGTAATTAGGATCCGGATTTAAGTATTAACTCTACTAACACTAAATACATCATATATATATATATATACTGTTCCAAGAATGTTGTTATACCCGAAATAGAAATTTATTAAAATTTCCTTATTTTCTTTCTTGTAATATACTAATTCGGGAATCAGTAAGCCACATTGGCTATAGAAAAAATTAGGTCAACCATTAGTTTCAAACTATATATATATCAAAGAAAGTTAACAATTATTAAGGAACATTAGTAACTACCTAAGAGAGAGGAAAACTAATAGAAGTAGTTAGTAACTGACAGGAAAGTTCTAAAATACTTAAGTAATAAAAAGCTATATAAACAGTACTTTTCTGGTATCTTGGTAGAAAAAGTCAAATACTTTAATGTTTCCTATAGTAATATATCTAAATAATGAGAATAGTATAGTGTTAGTATTGATTAGTATAGTTTTTATTATTTTATTTGTAATCCTACTTATCTTAATAAAATTCGAATCTTCTGTACTATAAACATAATAACTTTCTAGACAAAAGCTTATACTAAATTATAAACTGGTCCTAAAAAAAAATAAAATAAAGAATTAGTAACATTCATATCTTAAATCATAAAATAGTATTATTAACCTATGCATACTTCCCTTTTGTTAACTATCAAGGTTGGATTCATAACACAGATAGCTAATTTTATCCAACCTGGTAGTTACAGCATTCATTATTCAAATTGGTTTAATTTGATCCTATATGGATCTCTAAAGTATAGAAGAAAACAGAAATTATTATATTAGCATTAACATGAACTAAATGTATAGAAACTTAATATTTCTTTCGCAATTTAACTTCTAGCCAAAAATAAAATAATTTTTAAAAGCAAATTTTATGTTAATAATATTAAAGTTTTAATTGTAGTCTTGATAATGAAAAGAAACACACATCTAACTATATACATAGTACAAATTTAAAGACACAAATTTAGCATAGCAATAGACTCATAAAATTTAGTATGAATAGTATGATGCAATAATAAGCATATCATTCATTATAATTAGTAGTATGACATAATATCCTCCAATTGTATATCAATAAATTCATAAGCATATTCAACTAATTAGTACATTTTTTAAGCTCACAAGTATGGGAGTTATGTCCGATACCCGACAATAGCTACATATGTATTTGTTACTTTTTTTTTGTGCCAAGGTATAACTACATTGAGAAGATTTGTTTAGGTTGTTATGTTGCCTTGAACTTCGGTATGATCTTTCAAGTTGTCTGTTATTTTCATAATCTGATTTATTATCATATGTAAAGAGTAAACAATAACGTACCTATTAAAAATAAATGTAAGAAGTAAATTTATTTATCTATTATCACCCAAATCTTCTATATATTTATTAATTCTTTGCATTGGCTTATCAGTCTTTTAATTATGATATTAGAAAGTATAATTTTCTAATATGCTTTTTAAATGTTTTTTAGGAGCACCCCTTGTATATGTCAAATAAGGATTAGTTATATTTGATAAGTTCTCATTATTAGACTCATTCAAATTGTAACTTATCTTTCTTTTGGTTCATTAATCCAATCTCTCAAAAGTTTATTTAATTCATTTTTCAACCAGTTTCAAGAGCCAAACAACTGTTTTTTTTGCATATCCAAGGCCTTGATTGTATTTTACTTGGCAAGATAAATTCTGTTTGATGGTCTCTGAAAATATTTGGGTATGACAAATCTAATTAAAAAAATTGAAATCTGAATTGATTTGATGCTCATATATAGGTATATTATTATCAGGCAAATGCCCTCTACTAATAATAGTAATCACAACTTCTTCTTGAGAATCATATGTTGTTTCATTGTACTATCGAGATGGAATGAGACTGATATAAAACATAGCTTTATCTGAATTTTACATCACCAAAAAAAAATAATGGCAAACTAGTCTCTTCATTACGAGATTCATACAAGTCATAGGTGATTGGCATTTTTGCAAATTATTACAAAGTGTTCTTTCCACTGTTTAATAGTTGCTACATACCAAACTTCCTAAATGGTAGACCAGTTTATACATTTAATTAATAAGTCTAAATTTGATATAACAAACTCATATTCGTCTTCGGCAAAACTTATATCATTTGTTGGATTTATCATATCCTTATGATCTGAATTGTATAATTCGTAAAATCTGCATCATTCAAGTCATTTACTTACAAATAAAAAACAAATTTTAGAAGCTCTTTGTAAAAACATGATATAGTCAGACCTTCTAAATGCATTCTATAGAAAAAAAACTTTACTTAAAGAACAATAAGAACAATAAGAAAAAATGTATTTATAGATATTTGAAACAGAATTTGAATATGTACATGAGGAGGTTGTATAGATAAATTTAGAGAGGTCTTACTGTAACAATAAAAAATAAAGATAAATAAAATAAAAAAATAATGATTCTAACCCTGTAACTGACCAAGTTTTCCCAATCTTCAATTTTTTGAACATGGTAAAGTAAGCTTTCCATCATTTGATGATGCTATATTTTTAGTACTTGCAGAGTAAGTCGACTTTTGAGAGTTTTATTAATTTGGTTAAAATATCTATTCACAACATTAGGCAACCCAACAGTTGGATTCTGATTAAGTTGTTCTTTTCATTCAAACTGTTCTTTCTTATTAAGTTGTAATTGGATTTTAATGTCTAAATCATACAATGTTATTGAGGTTTTAATTGATTGTTTTATTAGAGAATTGTAGCTTTTAACACGTTGCGTTGATTGTATCCCACCATTAAAAGAGTGATGGGTGTAACATAGTGCCCAACCAGTCACATCAACATCAAGGGCACGTTCAAGATATTTTTGCACTGCTGGATATTTCATAAGTAGGTCATGCCATCATCTTTTAAATTCATACTCAGAAAAACTGTTTTGACATTTGCTTCATGCTGCTATAAAATTAGGGTATTCCTTATGAAGCTTTCCTTTTAAATTCTTCTCAAGGTTCTTACGAATGTGCTATATGCAATAATTATGTTTGGTTGAAAGAATAGTTTCATGGATAGCCGCAATCATAGCAGGGTCCACATTTGTGAACAATACTTTTGGCGCAAGACCATTAGTAGCACATAATAGGCACTTCAGAATCCACTGATAGGTTTCCTTTGTCTCATCAGATATGACAGCTGTCACAGCCAATCGAGAGCATGCATGATTATTCATGATGATAGTAAGAGATAAATACATATTGTACCTATTATAGTATTGTTAATCAATAATTAAATTGCAACAAAGAAAAAAAATATTAATAACTTAAAATTTTACTATAGCAACTTAATTTCATTTTTTCATTAAGTAAAAATGGTTAAATCAATAATGTCATTAAAGTGGGTTAAAAAAAAATTAAACTCTAATTTACATATAATTAAATGAATTTTTTAAACCATTAAGGTGTAAACATATACGAATGGTCATGAATATAGACAAAGACAGGTTAAAAAAGACCATGAACATCAAAATGTACAACACTGACCTATTAGTTTGAGCTGTATTATCATTAATTGTAATATTATGAAACCTTCTTCATAAATCAATTTGTAATAGTCACATCTAAAATAAGCCAGTAAGATGATTGTCTTCTCCCTCTAACCTCACATCAATGAACTACTCATGTTCTTCACATTGTAGTTGCATTAATTTCTCATATATTACAGCTGCATTGGTCTTTATTAGATTTTTGTTATGTCGAAAATGACAAATTGCATTGTATACATTCTTTGGATAAATTACAGCATCAGGAAAGTGTTCTTGAAGTTCACAGATAATCAGACCTATGCCATAACCAATATTTGTAAGAAATTTAACCTCCTCAGCATTTTAGAACTAAGATGTTAAAACTTTGATCCTATACTTTGTATGTTTTTGGCTAGCAGGTGGTTGTGATTTTTACATATTGACGTAACACATATAATATACTCAGAAAGGTAAAGATTAACCTTTCATGGGCAGTTTATTTTCATGCTCTCACATTCACAATTATCTTCTGTGTCAGCTTTTTTTTGGGAATGGTATTTACAAGACTTTTTGCATTCAAAAGTATGATGAACAACTTTATTTCTTTTATTTTTTTGAAGTCGATGTTTTACAACTTCAAATCCATTTTTTATACTATGCTTTTCAATATGCTCTATAGCTAGATTCCAATTAACAAAAGTTTATCTAATAAAAAAACCAAAATTTAGACAAAGTAATATAAAATAATTAGTTATATAAAAAAAAACTTTTTCAAGACTAAATATTTCATTATTATTTATGCTTTCAGTATCTGTATCTGTATTCGTATTCACATCCACTCTCAAATCCATATATGCATCCATATCAGCATCCATATTCATATCAGTATCTATATTCATATCAGCATCTACCTCCATATAAGCATCTACTTCTGTATAAGCATCCGAGTTCATGTTCATATAAGCACCTGTATCCGTATCAACATCAGAATCCACATATGCATTAATTTTCTTTTCAAATTCTTTTTGTAGGTTATTAACGTTTTCCTCCTCCTCTTCTTCAGAGGCATAAACCTCTAAGAAGAAAATTTTACAAGCACTTTGCTTTATTTTTAAGATTAAATAACTTTTTCTTAGTAAATGGTATTATTAGATTGACTGCAGTAACTACTATATAAACTTATTTCATATATATTTGTATGGATTTGCACCTGTAAGTTAACCATATATGGATAGATTGATGCTATACATTATAAAATTTTAATATTTGCAAAGGCAAAAAAGGAAAATTAAGCAGTTAAGAACAGAATTTATTATTATAATCTTAGACTCTACTTTTTTTGTGTAATTTTTTCATACTTTGTTGGTGGAATACCAAATTTATTTGAAACATAACTTAAAAAAATGAATGAAATTCAATGCAATTCAACTTTTATTCTTTTTTTCTCTGTAGTTTATTTGATTATTAATCCACTGTAACATACTAAATTTAACTTATACCTAAGCTTTTACTAATTACATAAATCAGTAATAATGACATTTTAGAGGTTGTCTAATACTGGTAGTTGTGATTATTAATTGATCAATCAATTAGAAGTATGTAATGTAATAAAATCTTATCTGGCTTTAGATCATTCTTAATTGTAATATTAAGTTCTTATAGCAACTTAATTCAAATTTTACCTAAACAGACTTTTGAACAGCTTTATGCAATTAGTCACTTGATCATCTCTTCACAAATGTGATATTATTTGGAATCTGAGTTGTAAGTTAATAACACTTGTTATGTAGATCATACTAGGATGAAACTTCTTTACATATATAATAAAATTTTAGATTTTATCTAAGCTCATTTGCATAACTAATTGGAATACCAAAAGCATATTAGGTCATATAATTTGATAGTCATGTTCTAAAAATTATTGTATGATACTTATTAATATGTAAAAATATAATAGTAATAATAAAAGTATAATTTCTTAAGGTCATAGTTGTATGCATTTAATATATAATTTATATGCTACTATATCAAAAAAATAACTAACTGCATACAGCATGACTTTAGTTCTCAATTTTTAGATCCTGGATTTTCCCCAGCATCACCAACAAAATTTTTGCGATTACATGATAGTCAATAAAATTGTTAAGTTCGTTTATATTAGGGTTAGCATTTAAACTAAGGCTGTATATTGAGGAGCATATAGTAAAATTACTCAAGAAATTTTGTTGTTAATGCATAAAGAGTTGTTTCTTAAGCAAATTTTTAAGATAAAGGCACTTTTTTCTAAATGTACATTTATTTTAATTGCATAACATTACACTGAGTCAAAATTCTTTATTGACTAATTTTTCATATATTATCATGTGATCATGAAAATTTTATTATAATTACTAGTAATTTGTTAGTGATCCTAGGGTAGTTCAATTTCTGAATATAAATTATATGTTCTGCCTTGGAATATTGTAATATTCATGTAACATCTATCTATAGTAAAGTCACCTGCAGTGATGATCACCTATAGTGATGATCACCTGTGGTAATGTTTAGCAATACTCTATTCTTTAAAATACAATTAATAATAAAAAATAAAAAAAATTACCAAAGAATCAAATTCAAATTTTTAAAAATTTAAGATTTATTATACTAAAAATTAAATTAATAAAAATTTTTTATAAAAAATTTTACTAAGTTATTTTATAAAATATTTATAACCAAACTATTTAATACTTTTTAAGAACATAAGTAAAAAATTTTATATAAATTAAATAAAGTTTTAATTTTTTATAAATAAAAATCCAAAATTAAACCTAAAATTTAGACTAATTTTTATTTAACTTTAAATTTAATTTCAATTTATAAAAATCTAAAATTAAACCTAAAATTTAGACAAATTTTTATTTAATCCTAAATTTAACTTTAAACTTTTTTTAACTTTTAAAAATTTAAATTTAATTTTTTATTAATTTTTTTTATTTTTTATTTTTAATTATATTTTTAAAAATATTTATATTTAAATTTTTAGATTTGTTTAATTAATTTTTAAAAAATTTCTATATTTGGTAAAAGAGTATCATAATTTTCTGCCACTACTGTAAATCTAGTCTACATAAATTCTCTTGATATAGGAAATTTATTAGTAAAACTTTCAATATACAGTAATTAATTTTTATTAGCAAAAATGGTCACTTCACTATAAAGAGAGTGATTTGTAATTCTGTATTCAAGATCACTATACAGTATTTATTATATATTTGAAATATTTTCTAAATAATTCATTTAAATTCAATTACATAATTTAAATAATTTATTTATATAAAATCAAAAGCAAATAAATGATTTAAAATATAAAATTTTAAAAAGCAATATTATGAGCAATTTTACGAAGATATTCTATGAGAAATCAATTATTACAGCCATTGTATGCTGTTTGTATTCACTGTTTGCATTTAATAGTTTGTCTTTTTTGTGATAGCCTTAGAGCACCTTGCAAGATTGCTTTAATATTGAGCTCAATTCTATTTTGCTCCTTCTGAATCTCTTTTATGATTTTAAGAACCCCTATATGTGCACAACCTACTAATATATTTCACTTACTGTGCTACACCTCTACTGAGTTCTGGGTTCTAGGATAGGCAAATTCAATATTATCAGCTACAGACTAAATGGTGGAAGAAAATAATAGTTTATATCTACTAACATTTTTATTTCTATACACATGCCTAATTCTGTCATAAATATAAGTTTTCTTGAACTACTAAATAACATGTCTAGTCTCAGTTAGAATATGAGTTTTCAATTTGTCAAATGCTAATGGTATTTTTTTGAAAGGTAAAAAAGTGAGAGCTGGAATACATCTCATTAGTAAGCTAAAATCTTTATCTGTATCATATCTTGAAGCAAGTCCAAGAGACTAAATCTTATAATAAATACTTTGTGACAGATAGAAATAGCATCCTTTATTTTGAACATCTTCAAATTCTAATTGAATGAAATTTTTAATAACTATTTCAAAATCAGTTAAAATAACTTAAGATCCCAAATCTATATGATATTTTTTATCAAAATTGATTAGTTCTTGAAACAATTTCCTATATAGATCCTCTGTTTTACTAGTCATCAAAGAAAAAACTAAAGGTAAAATCTTTGAATTTTCATTTCTACCAACATGTCCTAAAATGTATAACATTAATATTAAAAATTAAAAAAAAATTAGCTTTTCAGCTTTCTTATTATAAAGCAGAGATATAGAAAATTTAATTGCAATTAAATTATTATATATTTAAGATCAAGTAAAATTGTTATAAACAACAATTAAATTTA